CTCTCTCTCTCTCTCTCTCTCTCTCTCTCTCTCTCTCTCTCTCTCTCTCTCTCTCTCTCTGAAAATCGGCTCGGTCGAATCTTACCGCCATAAATTGAAGAGAAGCCTGCTATAAATACAAAAAAGAATACGCGGTTTAGTCAAACGGGTCGGAATTCTCTCTAATCTCTTTCTCTTCTTTTTTCTGAAACGTGCGCGACAGTTAGGGCCCTTATCGGGCAAATCGATAATGGCTAAATATGCATCCTAATTGACAATTTCGCCTGCCGATTGACGGCAGCTGCCGCGAATATCGCGGCCGGGTGTAAAATGACGAGGACTCATTACACGACGAAATAATTACGCGAATTCGGCTTTGTCGGGCGGACGCGTGCCCCGCGATTCTATAAAGCGACGGACGCGCGCGATCGATGAATTCGCGGGGGAAAGAATCCGGCGGAATTCAATCGGCACCGCGTCGACACCGCGCGGACATTTGTTCGCGCGGGACAGATAGGCCTGCGGAATTTATTCGCGACCCGGGAAACCGCCGCGTCTGTCAGTCACGATCGAGAAAAATCGGAGAGAAATTCCGCGCGCGGAAAAAAGGACTCGCCGGAGCGGCGTGACGCGCGCGTCGAGAAATTATCTCCCGACGTTAATGCGACGTTAACGGGGCTCATTATTATACCGCGCGAAAATATCACGAGAAGCAGGATCCCGTCGTCACACGAGGCACGGGCCCGTTCAGCGAATGAAATTCGCGATTTTCGCGCGTGTTCCGCCGCGCTTATCAAATATTTGCGCGTGACTTTTCGCACCGCCTAATGTATCCGGCGAGATCCGGAAGCGGCGGAGAAGGAAGAAGAAGAAGAAGAAGAAGAAGAAGGAGAAGGTGCAGAAGAAGGAGTGTCTGTTGTACTTGCGAATTTGCGGCCGCGTAACTTTATTCGCGGCGAGTGCCCTCCCTCAGCGACGAGGGCTTAAACTTTCCCGCGAGGAGAACGAAGGAGCAGATGGGGGAGGAGGAGAAGCGGGGGGAAAACTTCCCTTGTGGAGGAAACGTTAACGACGGATTTCCCGAGAGGATCAATAAAAGAGGGTGATTTCCTTCCCCCCGGTCCCCCTTAATCGCGTTCGCGATCGATATTTCACGCTGCGTTTGCGTATTTAACGACCGGTTAACATTCTTCGCTTCTACAAGGTCCGTTATACATTCCTTAAGAAGAAACGAAAGAGATGAGGGGGAGCGTTGTATCCCATAATTACGATGGTAAATATAAAGTCGCTGGGGTTCTTCACGATTTCGAGAAATACCGTGAAAAATTACGCGGAAACGAAGGAAGTCCCTCCAACTTTCCTTTATATAAATGGACGCCGCTCCGCGCGATATCGATCTCGACTGACGAGAGAATCGACTAACTTTTTCCAGTTTAAAAACGAGCGGAAACGGAGGATTTACCCTCGGGCTGTCGTCGCGAAAAATCGGAACGGAGCGATGGCGTTCCCGATAATGAGGTCACTGAGTACAACTCATACAGGATCTTTAGACATGACGAGGCCAACATTTGGCCGAAGCTATGGTGTCTACATGCTGTCTAAGATTTTATCAACCATTACTGGCTTCAAGTGTTTGACTACTGAATAGTCAAGCGTTACAGTAAATTCTGACACGCTTGGTCAATGTATGGCAACCAATTGTACGATTGTCAAAATCCTGCCAGCTAGTGCTTGGCCAGCACTGGCGAATAACTGGCTGCCTGCACACAAAAAAAATTTCAGTTGGTGTAAACAAATAGGAATCAACTGAAAATTAGATAATCAAAAGCGATATCTCTGTTATGAAAACTAATATTTCTGTTGCCGCAACCAAAAATATTCGTCTGAACATTCAACGATATTAAAACTCAGTTGAGGCAATTGAGAACAATTGACCATACAGAAGCCTCATAAAGGAATTTTTCTGTTCCTACAGCCGAGTTTTCGTCTGATCCTTGAGCAACCGAAAATTCGATTGCACCAACAGAATTGTTTTTTCCGTGTGCCTAACAATATCTGAGTCAGTACTATCCGCCAGTATTGCGCCAGTAGTGTTAATACTGCGCGAGCACTGCAACCCCAACAACCATTGCTGGGTCAGTACTGGCTTGGTCGGGAAGTAGGTGGGAACGTTAACATCATAATCGTGCAGATAGCTTAAATATGCAGCGCTTTCAGTCGTGTTAATTTTCAAACACACATTCGTTCAGATTTGATCGATCGACGACTTGGGAAAAGACAGAGAGGAGTTGGACGCGGAAGTGTCGAGTGTTGAATAATCAGCTCGAAACTGTGTTCAGGTTGCAGTTTATCTTATTTTCCCTTCCGGCGCATCCGTTCAGATGCGCTCACCTCTTCCGATGCACACGGACGCATTCGAGGAACGTAAAACATGCGTAGTAAAAGCACTCCTTTACAAAAGCTCCCTCCTCTTGTTCGCACACGCGAGCAAATCTCATACATCCGCGCACTCTCACACGCACAATTTATGCTTAAATTCATCGGCTTGCGCTCGCAGAAATTTGCGTTTTTCTTTTCTTTTATATATATTTACAGAAATTTATCGTATTTATTCTTAACCCTTTAAGAAGCCATGTGAGAACTCTCGTTATAAAACAATCGTTCTTACTTCTCGTTAAAGTTTTACACATCAGGTCAATAATTTCCCCATTAATATTCCAATTACATGTCCAACAACTAATAGTCCATTTATAAGATTAAAAACTGGACAATAAAAAATAACTCGAGGGGGAGACATAAAGTTGTGTTGCACTAATGTGAATATAACATTTAATATACTAACACTTTGCAAGAGGTATGTTATTGATATATTATCAAAGTCGTTTTACTTCAATAAATATAATAACCAATAAAATCTTGAAAAGCTTCAAGAGGTAGATTATTTCTATTACTAAAGTTACTTTCTCGTGTAATCGATGTAACTAATGATAAAATTTTGCAAATTTTTTAAGTATAAGTATAATTTACCGTTAAAATAATTGTACGCGCTAACAAACGTTATAACAGTAAACCTTTCATCTCTATTAGAGATTGGCCGTTTTGATGGGTTAATGTAACGGTAATTGATTTATTTACATTAACATTTATCGTATGCGCTGACAACTTGTGGCTTCTTGTTTTTTTGATTATCACCAAGTCGCAATAAATATACATTTATATCGTGTAATATATCTATATAAGTGACTAAATTGTTTATACTTATAAGTTCATTTATACATATATAATAGTATATGTACAGCAGCCTCTTTGTACATTGAAAGTTCATTTATCAAAAGTAACAATGACAATCGACAATATATCTTTCGAACGTTTCGTCTCGCGAGCTCTACTTCGGGGAAACTAACCGTCGATCAAGAAATTACTAATCGAGTTATTTAACATTGTATTTAACATTGCAGATCGTTCTGTTATCCACACACATATATATATATATATATTAATCATAATAATTCGATATAACTTATATATTTGGAATTGCCGTACGAATTAATTGCATATTGATGACAACCCGATATATTATTCTTAATCATGCATTGAAAGTCAGATCACGATTTAATATCAATATCGAATTGCAATAAAGTAATAATCTATTTTGTAAGAAAAAGGGAAAACTATTAGTTTACAACGATTATAAACTACATTTCTCGTCGTTTTTTGGTATTTTGCTGAGCAATATTTCGTTCGAACTTAACGTCTACGGACTCCTCGATTAACGTTCGATCACATGTAGCAACGAATACAATAACCGGCAAATTAATTAAACATTCCCAAACCTAAGAAGGTATGGGGACAGTCCTTTTCCTCCTCGAGACGACTTAGTTGCGACTTTTGCATCAACTCGCGCACTAAAGCGGAGGCGAGAATAAAAATTTCTACCTGATTTAATCGAAATTGCAACTGTAATTTTCGCGTCGATTCACCGTCGGAGACGAGGGAATGCAAATTTTAGCTCGATTAATTATAATCACAATTTTCACGCAATCAACTGGCAGTCGAGCGCAGAAGAGGTAGGATCGATCCTCCTCTCGCTCAATGAATTTTTCGGCACTTCGCGGGCGAAGGAGAAGATAAATTAATTCTCACCGGAAAGCTCGTTCGGAACATCCTTCCGCCTCGTCCGAGAAACTTCTCGACGCACCACTGCTTCTCATATTGTCTCGTCCCGACCGTAGGTCTTTGAAAACTACCGATTCCTAGATCGCGGCTGAAGGCTATAACTTCGGGTCCGTTTTGTCGTTACTCTGCACGACCTGCGAGGAGTTCTCGCGGGCGATGCAGTCGCGAATGGCTTGCAGGACGATGCCTATCCGGCGATCCAGCGCGTCCAGATGGGGCTCCCAGAGGACTGGTGCCACCGGGTCCTTGGCCATGCTTTGGCGCATAGCCGCGCTCAATCGCGTAGGCCCGTTGTGGAAACTGCAACCAGGTATCGTCCAGGTGAGTAGAGAGAGAAAGAGAGAGCGCACTCTCGCGAATATCGCGAGTTCGAGCTATGAGAAGCTCGCGCGTCGTCTTCAATCTGCCTCTCATAGTTATTTATGGCCCTAATTGTGATGCAAGAAGGACTCAATCCACAGAATTATAATTTTTGAGTTTTCGTTATCCACAAATGCTCCATGGTCTTTCTACACAAGACCAAAATATTCAAAATCTAAAGTTAATGAAAAAACAGCTTTTATTTTCTGCCGCCGTCTTTTTTGACGATAATAATAAACAAAAAAGGCGATATATGTTCAATAAGTAAGTCTGCATTGCAGAGCATAAAAACTAAATGTTACACTCAATTTCTTTCATTATTTAATTAAAGTTGCGCTATTTTTTATTAGCTACGTCGTTTTTACTCGCTTTTTTAAGGATTAAGCTTGTCCCTTAAATAAAAGAAAATTGCCCGACTTCTTGAACGATTGCGAAAAGAACTTCAGTGCAAGCTATATCTTTTCTTAATCATCAATGTATCAAATTTTCACCTTTATTTTTCTTGAAACATACTTTATGTAGCTTGGATCATTCTTGCATAACTGCGACTACTTTTCACGGAGAAAATTTTATAGTAAATATTCTATAACCGAGGAACAGATCAACGTTCTGCAGTATTCTTTCGTTTTATATGTGCTTATTATTTCAGGGGCTGAAATGTGCTATTAAAACATTCCTTATGTTTCTAGCGAAATTCACGTGCAAGGTAGACGTCACTGACCGTCTGTTCCTGGACTACTAAAGACATGGTAAAGTTGAAGAGAATTTATATAAAGCAACACTATAATATTTTCTCTGTGTGTGAAATTCGAATATTGCCGCGTGGAGAGACTACCGACTCGGGATCGATTCGTTCGTCGTCGCGATCTGAAGAATCTCTCGCGTCTCTTCTTTAATTTCACCGAGTCCTGCGAAGGACCTTCCGATGGCCGAGAAATCGAGTGAGGCAGAAGCAAAGCACTTCGAGGAAGCCCACTTTTATCCACGTGACGTGCCGGAATGTGTGTGTGTGTGTGTGTGTGCGTGTGTGTATGTGTGTGGGTGTGTCATCATATAAATAGAGCCGAGTGTCTGCTCGAGCCAATACTTTATTCATTGGCCCCGGCGACTCGAGGAGGCCTCCATTATCGTTCTGAAAGCTTCCAACCGCTCTCGCTTGTTGATCTAAAAACCCGTTTCCCTGCCCCCTCTCCTACCCTCCATCCTACGTAACTCTGAAAAGCGTCTCGGCGCTGTTATCAATCCCAAAAGCTCCGACCCCGATATTGTTTCTTCGAGAGGAACGTTCGATTACCGTTGGAGACAAACTGTTTTCCTTTTCTGTCTCTTTCCCCCCTCTTTTATTATTATTATTATTATTACTGCTGCGAACGGTCAAGTGATTTAAGAACAGTCTATTATCGTCCCGAAAGCTGCGAACCGCTCTCCCCCCCCGCTCATCGATCTACGAGACGTCGCGCGCGCCTCGGAAAAATGCGTCACCGTTATCTCAATTCCGAAAGCATCGACCTCGATATTGCTTCTGCGGGGAATCTCTCGTCACAGTTGAGAAATCGTTCGATCGCTACTATCAGCCATACGGACGATCCAAGAGACGATCTAACCGGTCTGCAAACTCTCCGCTTGTCTACGCTAAACAAAAAGTATAAGCTTATTCTTAGCGGGAATCCTCTTATACATGACCTCTAGGGGATTCTCCTACGTATCCTCTTAAGTATTCCAGCACCCAAGAAGAGAACTCTAATTGCAAGCTGCTGTTTCATGTAAATCCATATTTGCAGCAAAAACTCTTACCTAGAGAGTACTCTTCTTCTGACGAAGATGAACTGTTAATCGGAAATTTACTAGATATTACACCAACTTTTCCTCTCCTTTTGAATCAAGAGAAATATGTTTACTTAAAGCAAAGTGCCCTTTCACTGGAAAAGATTTCTATCAAAAACAAGACTGCAGATGAAAGACGAAAGTCTTTTAACTTTAAGAGTGCTTAGAATATTTTCTTTTTGGTCTTAGAAGAATCTTCTTTTGAAGTCATACGCATAAGAAGATTTCCGCTAAAGATAAGATTACATTTTTCTGGGTATATCTGAGTTTTACCGACAAATTCTGCGAGTCAATTATGAGCTAGAAATTTGCAGAAGAATTCTCAAGTCTAAAAATTCTATTGTTATTTCTTCAAAAATTGCTTAATCAATTGTCGTGATCAATTGAATGGTGATTTATCTGAAACTATTTTTCCTCCTAATACTATATCACTTGTAAAGTCTCAATCTGTTCTTCTTTCCTTTCAGCAGTAATTCGATCAAATGTCACTTTCCGAAGCGTTTGAGACATTCATTCAATTTAACAGTTCTGTAGTCAACATTTGAATTTAAATTTCCCCGAAGTAAAATCCACGACGCGCCGGATCCCTGACGTTTCACAAAGAACAACATCTCCCCACGAATTTGCATCTGTGAAACTGAGTCGGATATAGCTGTTTAGAAATAAAAAGGGCAAATCCCACAGAAAGAACGACAAGACGAGGGGCGTTTGGAGAAAATTGCGCTCGAACCAATTTCGCTTCATTGTTATCTTAATCACGCGGCCAATCGGACGATTCGCTGCCATGCAAAGCATGGGCGAGAAAATGGACTAACAGATGAAGAAGAAGAATAGAAGAAGTCGTGATCAGCGAAACGGCAGGAAGCAATTATCTCGCGTAACAGCGCGCTTAATGGATGACGTGTGGGCACTCTCGAGCCCGCCCCGTACGTGTGAGTGCGGACGTGTGTGTGAATATTTTAAAATAAAACAGGATCCGCTGGCGTTTACAATTTTGATGTGGATGCAATAACGTATTCATAATCGCCGTCGTGTTCTCGAAGGGTCAAGGGAAATCGAGCGAAACGAAAACGGGAGCGATTGTTTCGACGGGGAGGGGGAGGGGGAGAAGAGAGAATCGCGCGCGCGATGGACGGCGGTGTCCGTCGATCGACGATGAAATTTGCAATTCGGAGCAGGGTCGCAAATTCTTCGATCTCTCGAAAAAGGGAGGCGCGCGCGCGGCGGGTGCGAGTAGAAACTTTACGATAAGGCGGATATATACCGAATCCGAAGCGTTTTATCAGAATTGCCGGCCGCTCGTGAATCTCCCGCTTTGATGCGGATTCGCGGGGACGTTTTTACGGGCCGCGATAAATTCGATGTCCGGCCGATCGGCCGGATTTAGCGGACACCCTGTATATATACACACACACACACACACATATCTAAAGCGTGTTCCCGAATGGGATCGCGAGATCGTTCCTCGATCGAATTCAGTGGAAAAATTGGCCACACTTATGCAAGAATGATCCCACCCACAGAATTATGAGGTCTTTCGCTAAACTGCCTAAACTGGTGCAATAATTTAGAGTGAAGTATATTTATCTCGCTCTAACTTATTCCACCAATTCAGCTGAAAAGAACAGACGTATGAATTTTTGTTTCACCATTGAGAGTAGTCCATACATTTTTCTACATAAAACAAAAAAGATTCAAGCCTTATGAGCGCTAGTCAAAGAACAGTTTTTATGTTTTATTAGTTACCAGAAGCGTTTTTTATCTACTTTTTCAAGGGTTAAATTTGTCAATGAATACCCTTAAAGAGAAGAAAATTGATCGACTTCTTGAACAATTGAGGAAAATCTCAGTGCTCTATCTTTTAAATCGTGTATCAAATTTTCATTTTCATTTCTTTCGAAAAGTACTGAATGTGGATCATTCTTGCATGATTGCAGCCAATTTTGAGAAGAGGTTTTTTTCTCGCCCGCAAGGTCTCGTTCCTTTGACAGCATTGATCTTTATGGTCTTCTGATTGAAAAATTCGCGCAATTGGATAATGATATCATTTGCCGTAATGTTGCTATCCACCGGGTCAGTTAATCGACCAAATTATCACGCCATCGCAATTCATAATTAATGGCGGCATAATAACGTTGTAAATGATACCATTGTGCGCACGGCTTACCGTAGCAGAGTGGCGAGCGTGCTTTGCCTGATAATGCAGCACTGCAGAAGCGGCGCCAGGATGGACGTCTCGTCGTGGAACGGCTTGCCGAAGCCGCGCCCGTGGTCCAAGTGTAGCGTGAAGCTGTCGTTGCCGAAAAGTCGGAACGTCTCGTAATGATGGCGGTCCATGTTGCCCGTGAGGAAGTCAAACACCGCCATGTCCATGAGGTCGAGCAGCCGCCGACCCTCGTCGTATGGCGAAATTTCTCTTACGAGCGAGCAGTAGTCGGAATCTGCAATCATTTCGCATCGATACACTCTCTGGTTGGCGAGGGAGCTCGTTTTCGTGATAATTAAAAGAGCACAATTAAATTAAACCCCAACTTAAATTTAATCGCCGTAAAAAGTCAAAAATCTTGGAGGATCTTGTTTCGAGCTACGCAATCTTCCCGTGAGTTATTCAATTTGGCAATCACACCAATTGTAAATATTAGTTAAATCGGTCCTCCCTAAGCTAACTCTACATTTATAATAATTTTTATATCATTCTTTTTTGCAATTATTCTTTGGCTCTCCGGCCATAAAAATATTCAAGTAAGCGCATGGCGTTTAGTCATTGAAAATTGTATTTCACCCCGGGAGTTTTTGTCCTCCGAGGTACATTAATGGAAAAATAAATGGTTAAGTTACTATGAAAACAATAAAAATGTAACACAGCAAAAATCTATCTGATAAGAAATATAAAAATACATTTAAGTAATTACAATAATTTTGTAGTAAAATATGTCAAATATGCATAACATTTTGAAACGAATATATAGTAATTTCAGTTATAATTCTGTACGTTACAAAATTATCAAGATTTTGTAGTAATGTTCGTCACAATATTATCAATATTATATTATCAATATAATTGAACCTCTAATATTTCATATTGAGATAATGATTATGATATGAAAGTATGATATAACCCGGAAACAACAAGCGGATAATTATATATATTATATATATTATAGATAATTATATATATATATATATATATATATATATATATATATATATATATATTGGGAGTACAAATTAGCTCGGTCCGTTTTCAAAAGATGGCTCTGGCTGTTATGAATGTTTCATAGTGACATCTGATTTCGATGGTTTCAGAGAGGTTAGACATCTGTCAATAATATTCAGTTTATATCGCTTTGAGTTTCATACAAAACCCCTGTTTTTTACTGTGTTGAATATGTCAAATTTTGTGTTAACTAAGCAACATTTGCGGGAGGTTTTAGTTTTCTGCTTTAATTGGAAGAAAAGTGCAGCTGAATCGCATCGAATGCTTGTAGAAGTTTGGTGACAATGCTCCAACTGATAAATCATGTAGGGAATGGTTTCGACGTTTCAAGAATGGTGATTTCAGCGTTGAAGACAAGCCTCGCTCTGGACAGCCAAAAAAATTCGAAGACAAAGAATTGGAGGCATTACTCGATGAAGATCCGAGTCAAACGCAAGAGGAGCTTGCAGAATTATTGGGAGTTAATTCGTTTCAGCCGTGCATTACGAGAAAAACGGCCGGAATACGAGCAAAGACGTGACAAAGTTATTCTTCTGCATGATAACGCTCGGCCTCATGTCACAAAAGTCGTAAAAAATTATTTGGAAACGCTCAAATGGGATATTTTACCGCACCCGCCGTATTCGCCGGGCATTGCTTCTTCTGATTACTGGTTGTTCCGACGGATGCAGCACGATTTGGCAGGTCACCGG